CCGTCTATAGTGCTTCAGGTTTTCTTGGACGAGGGAAGGGGATCGATGGGTGATTGTAATAGCGCCGAGGAGGATTACTATCCCTCCTCCGACGATCAAGACTCGCTCGATGATGACGGGCTCGACAACGAAGAAGCCGAAGACGTTCAGTGGGCCCCGCCCAAGGGAGCTAGTACCAAGGTGGACTTGTTTTTCTGAATGTTTTGTTATTTCTTTTTTCTGCAACGGTTCAGGTTCATGTTTGGGGGGTAATTTTTTAGCTGGGACTCAGTGATTCATTTTCAGGTGTTCGTCGGGTCTTGTTTGAATTACTGGCTTCTATTGCTGTTTGGAGTGTGGGGAAATTGGTATCCGTAATCTTCTAATGAGTTTTCTTCCTGGTTAATTTGACGCCGAGTTGTGGTTATAAATGCGAAAGAACTTTCCTTTTTGGTTGGGGTGTGAAGTTTATCGGTTGACGAAATGTGAATGTGTGAGCTTTAGCGGACCTCTGCGTCCTTTTTTCTTTCCCTTTCTTTTTGCAATTGTGTTTATTTTTGGGGCTCTGTTTTGTTTTCGGTTGTTTCAATGTTGCAAGTTTAGAGCTCAAATTGGTCGAATTTAATGGGGGTGTTGGTTTTGTTTTCTCTGATAAGTTATCGAGCTTCCTTCATGTTATGGAATTATGTTGGTTTTACCCGATTTGTATTGATCAAGTGAAGTAGGGTACGAATTTCCCAGGTTTTCCTTTCGGTTCCTTTTTGCCCTAATTAGAAATTGGTTCTGTGATTTTTCAGGTTATTACTAAAGAATCCCTTTTGGCTGCGCAGGTAAAGGGACAGAGAGGATTCATCTGAGTTGAGTTTTTAAATATAATTTTGTGTTTGCTAAACCTGATTGTTTGAGTTTTGGTGCATTAATCTAGAGGGATGATTTACGTCGAGTGATGGAGTTGCTCTCAGTGAAAGAACAACATGCCCGGACATTACTTATCCACTATCGCTGGGATGTGGAGAAATTGTTTGCAGTGTTTGTGGAGAACGGGAGACCAAACTTGTTCGCTGCAGCAGGTGTTACTGTGATTGAGCCTGAAGATGCTGGTTCGTCCATAGCTTTTTTACCAATGATTACATGTGAGATATGCATTGAGGACGTGACTGCTGATCAGTCGACCAGAATGGATTGTGGACATTGCTTTTGCAATGATTGTGAGCACCCTGATTATTTCCGTTATGTTTCTATTAAGGCACTATAATTTTTTATGTATTTGTGCTGCCTTTTGCCTTTTTTCTTACCATATATTACTGAACACCCATTAATTTTATTTCTCTATATTCTTCCATTGTTTTTCTTGCTTTAGGTTGGACAGAACATTTTGTTATAAAGATAAATGAGGGTCAGAGTAAGAGGATTAGATGCATGGCACACAAATGTAATGCTATTTGTGATGAAGCTGTTATCAGAAATTTAGTCAGTAAGAGGCATCCTAATCTGGTGGAGAAGTTTGATCGTTTTCTTCTTGAGTCATATATTGAAGATAATAAAATGGTTAAATGGTGTCCAAGTACTCCTCATTGTGGGAATGCCATTCGGGTGGAGGATGATGAGTTTTGTGAGGTAGAATGCTCTTGTGGTTTACAGTTTTGTTTCGGTTGTTTGTCAGAAGCACATTCTCCTTGTTCCTGTTTGATGTGGGAGCTCTGGTCAAAAAAGTGCCAAGATGAATCTGAAACAGTTAACTGGATCACTGTTCATACAAAGCCTTGTCCCAAGTGTCACAAACCTGTGGAAAAGAATGGTGGCTGTAACCATGTGGCTTGCATTTGTGGACAAGCATTTTGGTGAACATTCTTCTCATTTATTTTATCTCAGTCATATTTAAATTTTTTTATGTATCCTTGTTACATGCTACTGTATATCCTCAATAATCACTTTTTCTTTTATATGGCAATTTTTTCACCCGTGAAATATGATTCTCTTAGCTTGACCAACTCTGCGAGCAGTCAACTTATATCACGAACCTGATACATGGTTCGATTATGAAAGAAATAGGAAGAAAGAGGAAGAAAGCCCAGAGAGAGAGATAGAGAGGGAAAGAAAGACAGAAGCTGAGAATCGGTGGGATTTGAGAGAAAGATTCTATTCAAACTTCAATAACTTTCCATATCCTTCATTCCTTGAGTACATGCTTAAATATATGGTATAGAGTAGGAATTTGTAACTGCCGGATATGATGATCTCGGATCTTCTTCTCCTAATTTGTTATACCCTTGTGCAACTTACCATTTTTACCCTTGCATATTACTTTTTCTATTTTTCTAATTTATCCTTGGTTCCTTAACACTTGATGTAACTAGTTCTCCCCGCTTTTTCGTCGCTTCTCTTTCTCCTCCCAACCAGAATATCAAGTACTTGCTTAAAATGCTTAATCGTTGGTTTTCTTACTAGAAAGGATTCCTTATTCGTGGCACATCTTCCCTAACACATTTTGATATCTTCCTCTCCCAATTTATTATGATGGAGAAGACAAAACTACCTCATACAACTTACCATCTTTACCCTTGCATATTATTTTTTCTATTTTCCTAATTTATCCTTGGTTCCTACAACTTAATGTAACTGGGTCTTCCCCCTTCGTCGCTTCTCTTTCTCCTCCCAACCAAAATATTGAGTACTTGCTTAAAATCTCAATTTTCTTACTAGGAAAGGATCTTATTCCTGACACATCTTTCCTAGCACGATTTGATATCTTCGTCTCCTAATTTATTATGATGGAAAAGGCAAAACTACCCTCGTACAACTTACCATTTTTACCCTTGCATATTATTTTTTCTATTTTCCTAATATATCCTTGGTTCCTTACAATTTGATGTAACTGGGTCTCCCCCCCTTGTCGCTTCTCTTTCTCCTCCCAACCAGAATATTGAGTACTTGCTTAAAATCTCAATTTTCTTAATAGAAAGAATTCCTTATTCGTGGCACATCTTTCCTAATATGATGATATCTTCGTCTCCTAATTTATTGTGATGGAAAAGACAAAACTACCCTCATACAACTTACCATTTTTACCCTTGCATATTATCCTTAGTTCCTTGCAACTTGATGTAACTGGGTCTCCCCCATTCGTCACTTGTCTTTCCCCTCCCAACCAGAATATTGAGTACTCGCTTAAGATATGCTTAATCCTCAATTTTCTTACTAGAAAGGGTTCCTGATTCCTGGCACATATTTTCGAACACGATTTGATATCTTCGACTCCTAATTTATTATGATAGAGAAGACAAAACTATCTTCGTACAACTTACCATTTTTACCCTTGCATATTAATTTTTCTATTTTCCTAATTTATCATTGGTTCCTTACAACTTGATGTAACTAGGTCTTCCCCCTTCATCGTTTCTGTTCCGCCTCCCAACCAGAATATCGAGTACTTCCTTAAAATGCTTAATTCTCAATTTTCTTACTAGAAAGGGTTCCTTATTCCTGTTACATCTTTCCTAACACGATATGATATCTTTTGGTAATGGCAGCTGACGTGCTCCACACTTTCTTTGACACAGTTGGCTTTGCGGTGCTGCTACTGGTCGAGACCACACTTGGTCAAGAATTGCTGGCCATAGTTGTGGTCGGTACAAAGATGACAAGGAGAAGCAAACTGAGCGAGCAAAGAAGGATCTTTATAGGTATATGCACTATCACAACCGCTACAAAGCTCATACTGATTCCTTTAAGCTGGAGAGCAAACTTAAGGAGACAATCCTCGACAAGGTGTCAGTTTCGGAGGAAAGGGAATCAAGGCTTAGAGATTTTAGCTGGGTTACAAATGGACTCTCTCGACTTTTCAGGTCCAGACGAGTTCTTTCCTATTCATATCCCTTTGCATATTATATGTTTGGAGATGAGCTATTCAAGGATGAGATGACAGTTGATGAGAGGGAAATAAAACAACATCTATTTGAAGACCAGCAGCAGCAGCTTGAGGCAAATGTTGAGAAACTGTCAAAGTTGTTAGAGGAACCATTTGATCAATTTCCTGACGATCAAGTTATGGCCACAAGGATGCAAGTTATCAATTTGTCTGTGGTCGTTGATGCCTTATGTAAGAAAATGTGAGTATTATATCATAAAAGCTTCGAATATTCAAGTACTATTTTAGATTCATGCAGGCTGATGAATTCACTTGCAGGTATGAATGCATTGAGAATGATTTATTGGGCTCTCTGCAACTTGGTACACACAATATTGCTCCTTACAAATCAAAGGGCATTGAGCGCGCGTCAGAACTTCTTGTTGGTTGGAGTACAAAAACTAATGCAGCTAAAGAAACTCAGCCATCATATTCTGTCAAGATTGGTAATTTTACTTCTATATTCTCTGGTTTTTATGATAATTATGTTTGTAGAAGCAGAAGCTTTTGGTCTTTTGCATATGTTTATTGACATTCAATCCAACTGATTGGAATGTGCTAGGATTCTCATTAGTGGCTTCCAGGATCTATCAGATCCATATGAATTTCCGAACTTTGTTGGATAAACTGGTTTTTATTTATTTCATAACTTAAATATTTTCTTTTTTGAAATAAGCATAACTTCTAAATATTTGGTTATTCGATAGTTTCTTTTGGTTAGAGCATTAATATGTTCCTACCTTACAGCATTTTTTTCCATCAGTTTTTGCTCTTGAAACTTGGAGCCAAAAATTCTGTTTGAACTCAGCATGATAAAATTTTGGAGTTAGAAGTTCACAGTTCTCTTCCTATTTTAAAATTCTGTTATATCTAATGCTATAAAGAGTTAGAAAGAAACCTTAGTGCAGTGTGGTTTATGTTGATTATGGATATATCTTCTTCCTTTAGAACCTCTCATGGTTCTATTCTGGAAAGCGTTTTATGTCTTACAAAGTTATTGATATGCACCTTTGTAGGTGGAACTCCTGAACCTGATCGACCTTCAGGCTCTGGGAGTTCAGATGATGGTGGTTGTTCTTCAAACAAGCGTATTAAAAGGGGGGGACGCCTTGAAGGTGTCATATTTGATCTTAACTTGCCGCCAGACTCTGATGATGGTATCTGATGTTGCAGGCTTCATAAACATTCAATTGTACAGCTCTAACTCAAGGCCCTCTTTTGTTCATGTTATTGATCATTAGTGTGATTAAGCACTGCCAAGTGCTTTTTCATCTAGTATCTTCTTTTTTGTCCCAGTTTAAATTTCCCTGCCTTATTTAAGTAGTTCGGGAAAGAGAAATCCGGTTTCTTAGTGCTATTTCTATCCTGATTTTCTTGGAAAGTCAGCGTATTGTGCATAAACTTCTACTAGGCTTTTCTGAAGAACAGAGATGTAAATTGTCAACTGGAGACTTGATTAATAACATAATACACCTGTTGAGATCATTGTGTCTAATTCATGCAAATTTCTTGGTGGGTAGATTTGATATGCTACATAACGAGGGGTAACCCTAATCAGCCTAGTGGCTTTTTCTGGACTTCTTCTGATTCCCTTATGAGAACCATATGTATGTCAGTTTTTATGGTGACCACGTATTTCACTTGAGAACCTAAGTCACTACCTGGTGAATTTTGGTTCTTCCAAGCTATAATCCTTCATCAATGTCATGAATACGGAAATTGAAAATGTTAAATACCTCTCTGCAGTCTTGATGTTAAATATCAGCTCAGTCGCTGATATTGCTTGGCCTCTTGATGAATCATTCAGTTTGCTTGGCTCTGGAGGATGCTCTTGTTGTGCACATCTTATTTCCATTACCATGGCTGTGATGATGCGTCTTTTTAAGAAATTTTTGTACGCATAATACATTTTGATTTGAAGCAGTGGGGTGGAAACTTTGAACATCTATATATGTGTGTATGTATATTTGCTATATGCATATATAGTTAGGTAGGATGTGAATGAAAATTATTGTAGTTAATCAGATGAGTTGAGCATATTGATCTTGAAAATATTCACTTCAGAATTGTGTAGATGGGATTAGGTCTCCTCCTCCATAGAGAGAGTTTGGATATTTTGATAGCAGAGCGTTTTTGAAGAGGGAGAAGCAGCTTATGTATGTTAATCGCAAAGGCATTTGGCCTAGCTAGCAAGCATTTGAGACACCAATGTAGTTATTAAAGTTCCCAAATTTGAACCTGTATTGATTTTTATTTCATGATGAATTGTAGAGGGAACGTATATGTACATAGACAAAAACTACATCTCAGAAAACCAGGTCCAGAGAAATTGCAGACTAAAGAAAGAAAACACAGACATTACACAACTCTACCAAGGCACAGAAGACCCCTCAACACTGAGTCTCTCATTCTCCATATTCATTTTCCATGATCATACTACCATCATAACCTTTGGCTTGTCTTCGCCCTGCTCCTCCATGGGCTCTGGAGGTGCCACCTCCGGAGTTGGCAATATGACGCCTTCACGCTGGTTATCAATAATCTGACGAAGTGCCTGTTCGCTGAGACCAAACCCTGCTGCGAGCTGAGGGCCAAGAAATTCATGGAGAATTGAATGTGCACCGACAAGGAACTGTGGCCGATTCTCTCTAGCCGAAGTTGTGAAGCCGAAGAACTCAAAAGGGCCCGTTCTTGAGGCTATTTGGCAGAAGGCAAAGTACCTCGGTACACAAAATACATCACCTTCATTTACTTTTGCATCCAGTGCTAAACTCCCGTTTGGCGTCACAATCTGTATCCTCCCCGATCCTCTCAGTACAATTCCATACTCTGTCGCTGTTGGATTCACATGTGGCGCCATCATTGATCCCTGCAATCAAACCTCCCCTGTAAACTTCTTCGTGTACGTATATATATATATATATATATATATATAGATGCAAGTACAAAACTAAACCAGTGGAAAGATTTGTCACCGCAGTGAGGTTGACGAGATAAACACCGGTGCCAGAGTGTTTGAGGGGATTATACTCAGACCCTTGAAGAGCAATGCTCCATCCGTATCTGTTCTCAAAATCGTGGGGCTTGTTGTACAGATTGTACGAGTCATCACAGTCATCTTTTTTCTTATTTTCCTCCCCAAATACTGAGCTCAGCATCTTCCTCCATGACCATGCTGCTGCTTTCTTACCTTCTTTTTTAAGTTCTCGGTTAAATTCCACCATTCTCTTGAGGTGGTTCAGCCTGTCCTGCTCTTTCGATTGCAGGAACTTGGTCCAAACGCTTGGCGCAGCTTCTGTCAAATACACGATTGGTCCTTGTTGCTGCCTTGATAACATTTCTCTCACTACTTCCCTTGAAGTCTACCATGAGCAAAAACAATCTGTTATTTAAAAATCTATGGGAATTAACCATGTTAATTTCTTTTGTCACTCACATTCAATGCAGTGGAAAGAACATCAGGGTCGAAGCCTCCAAGAACTGTTCGTGGGTAAGTTCCACCGCCGATGAAGAAGGACTGTGAGGCAAGATAGACGTTTAATGTTGGGTTATCATACATAGTTAGTAACTTTGTAATTAGTGTTTGAATAAGAGATGGATTGAACCTGGAAAAGACCCAATCCCAAGCTCTCAGATGGATCAATGCTGGTGATGATTTGGAGCCTCTGCCCTTCCTCTAAATTTTCTAAGTAAAACGCTGTACCAGCCGGAATCCAGAAGACATCCCCCGGTTTCAAATCTCTGGTAGCCAGTTCGTCCTTACAGATAAATCCCAATCTAGCTTCCCCTGTAAAATCAGATGTTGATTTTTACATGAACATCTAAATCTGAATATCATTTGAAAAGAACCCAAAATTTAGGAAACAAAAAGATTGTTCACCTCTGCGATCGAAGAGAAGCAAGCTCGAGTCTAGATATTGAGGGATGAGAAGAGACCTGGGCTCCATCTGAATGAAGCCTATATGCATTGGCTTCTGTATAATTCTCCCACCAATGCTCCTTAGCACTCTCATAGCTCCTGCATCAGTCCTCAACACTGTTCTCGAGTCCTGCATCAAGAACGGCTCCTGTGATCCCCATGGCCTCTGTTCCTCACCGCCTCCTCCTCCTCCTCCTCCTCCTCCTCTCTGTTCCCTTTCTCTTTCCCTCTCCCACTGACTTTCCCCTTCCCCTTCCCCTTCTCCTCCTTCTCCCCATTCCCCCTGATCTCTTTGATCATATCTAAACCCGATCGCCACGGACGTCACTGCACAGAAGCAGACGAGCAGTAACAGCACGAGGGTCAGTCTGTTTCTCGCCATTGTCGTCGAATTCAGATAGCCCAAGTCTTCTCCGTGTGCGCTTTTCTGGATTTGTTGAGAGGGTGGCGGTATTTGTAGGAAGAAGGTGGAATAGAGAAGCATGCATGGAAACACGTGTGCCTCATGCAGTGTTTGTGGGTTTATGTGGCGGATTGATGTTAAGACAGTTCTCTGGTGAAAAACATCTGTTAATCAGACAAAAGTCCTTTTTTTTTTTTTTGGCTTTTCGCATTTGATTTTCTTTGACGGTTCGTCGCTCCCTCTTCTTTTAGAGTCTTCTTTCTAATTCTATGATTTAACTTCGTATTTATTTTACAAAACTAATAATATATACAAATTTTATTAAAAGGATATTTTTATGTATGAAATGGGATTTCGAAAATATTTTTATGCTTCAAGAAAATAGATATGGCTGAAGCTTAACATATGGCTGAGGCTAGCAGCCGATAAATTCCATAAATAAGGCTTATTGGACACTGCTCTGGGGTTTTTGTCTTAAGAGAAAAGCTTACTGGTCACTGGGCTGGTCCAGGCTGGGCTTTGTTTCCTAAAGAATAGCTTATTGGACACTGGGCTGGGATGGGCTTTTTGTCCTAAAGAAAACGTTATTGGACACTGGGGCTTGTCTGGGCTGGGCTGGGCTTTTGTCCTAAAGAAAAGGGTATTGAAATTGGGCTGGTCTTGGCTTTTGTCATAAAGAAAAGTATATAGGACACTGGGCTGGGCTGGGCCTTGTGTCCTAAAGAATAGCTTATAGGATACTGGGCTGTCCTGGGCTGTCCTTTTTGTCCTAAAGAAAAGGTTATTGGACACTGGGGCTTGGCTGGGCTGGGCTGGGCTTTTTGTCCTAAAGAAAAAGGTTATTGAAAACTGGGCTGGTATGGGCTTTTGTCATAAAGAAAAGTATATAGGACACTGGGTCGGGCTGGGCTGGGCTGGGCCTTGTGTCCCAAAGAATAGATTATAGGATACTGGGCTGTGCTGGGCTGGACTTTTTGTCCTAAAGAAAAGGTTATTGGACACTGGGGTTTGACTGGGCTGGGCTGGGCTTTTTCTCTTAAAGAAAAGGTTGTTGAAAACTGGGCTGGTCTGGGCTTTTTGTCATAAGGAAAAGCTTATAGGATACTGGGATGGGCTGGGCTTGTGTCATAAAGACTAGCTTATAGGATACTGGGCTGTGCTGGGCTGGGCTTTTTGTCCTAAAGAAAAGCTTATAGGATACTGGGCTGGGCTAGGCCTTGTGTCCTAAAGAATAGCTTAGAGGATACTGGGCTATCCTAGGCTGGCCTTTTTGTCCTAAAGAAAAGGTTATTGGACACTGGGGCTTGGCTGGGATGGTCTGGGCTTTTTGTCTTAAAGAAAAGGTTATTGAAAACTGGGCTTGTCTGGGCTTTTGTCATAAAGAAAAGCTTATAGGACACTGGCCTGGGCTGGTCTGGGCTGGACTTTTTGTCATAAAGAAAAACTTATTGGACACTAGGGCTTGTCTGGGATGGGCTGGGCCTTGTGTTCTAAAGAATAGCTTATAGGATACTGGGCTGTGCTGGGCTGGGCTTTTTGTCCTAAAGAAAAGGTTATTGGACATTGGGCTTGGCTGGGCTCGGCTGGGCTTTTTGTCTTAAAGAAAAGGTTATTGAAAACTGGGCTGGTCTGGGCTTTTTGTCATAAAGAAAAGCTTACAGGATACTGGGCTGGGCTGGGCCTTGTGTCATAAAGAATAGCTTATAGGATACTGGGCTAGGATGGGGTGGGCTTTTGTCCTAAAGAAAAGGTTATTGGACTCTGGGGCTTGGCTGGGCTGGGCTGGGCTTTTGTCTTAAAGAAAAGGTATTGCAAACTGTGCTGGGCTGGGCCTCGTGTCCTAAAGAATAGCTCATAGGATACTGGGCTGGGCTGGGCTTATTGTCCTAAAGAAAAGGTTATTGGACACTTGGGCTTGCCTGGGCTGGGCTGGGCTTTTTGTCATAAAGAAAAGGTTATTGAAAACTGGTCTGGGCCGGGCCTTGTGTCCTAAATAAAAGCTTATAGGATACTGGGCTGTTCTGGGCTGGCCTTCTTGTCCTAAAGAAAAGGTTATTGGACACTGGGGCTTGGCTGGGATGGGCTGCGCTTTTTGTCTTAAAGAAAAGGTTATTGAAAACTGGGCTGGTCTGGGCTTTTTGTCATAAAGAAAAGCTTACAGGATACTGGGCTGGGCTGGGCCTTGTGTCATAAAGAATAGCTTATAGGATACTGGGCTAGGATGGGGTGGGCTTTTGTCCTAAAGAAAAGGTTATTGGACTCTGGGGCTTGGCTGGGCTGGGCTGGGCTTTTGTCTTAAAGAAAAGGTATTGCAAACTGTGCTGGGCTGGGCCTCGTGTCCTAAAGAATAGCTCATAGGATACTGGGCTGGGCTGGGCTTATTGTCCTAAAGAAAAGGTTATTGGACACTTGGGCTTGCCTGGGCTGGGCTGGGCTTTTTGTCATAAAGAAAAGGTTATTGAAAACTGGTCTGGGCCGGGCCTTGTGTCCTAAATAAAAGCTTATAGGATACTGGGCTGTTCTGGGCTGGCCTTCTTGTCCTAAAGAAAAGGTTATTGGACACTGGGGCTTGGCTGGGATGGGCTGCGCTTTTTGTCTTAAAGAAAAGGTTATTGAAAACTGGGCTGGTCTGGGCTTTTGTCATAAAGAAAAGCTTATAGGACACTGGCCTGGGCTGGTCTGGGCTTTTTGTCCTAAAGAATAGCTTATAGGACACTAGGCTGGACCGAGCTGGGCTTTTCGGCATAAATGTTGAAGGATCACCTTATAAATGTTGTCTGTCTCTGTGTGTGTATATATATATATATATATATATATATATATGTATGAAGGTGAATTTCTCATTATGAGTTATGCTGGCAATCATAATTCAATGAACTTTAAAATTAATAAAACTTAATTTACAAGAAAACAAGAGAATGAGTAATTTTTTAATATAAAAAATATATTAATACATATACACACACATCATAATAGATTGTACATAAATATACAATACTGAACTTCCGTATTGTGTATTAGAAATTTCCCTCCTCGCCGAACTTCGTGTTCTACAAAACATATAATATCATATACTTACATTACATGTTAAAAGAAAGCTGTAATGCGACAAAGAGCTGGTTTGACCTTCCATTAATGATATTAGTGAAGGCTACGAACTGGGCGTCCTGGCTAGCCATATATATATATATATGTGTGTGTGTGTGTGTATATGTATTGTATTGTATTGTATAATTATTATAGAGAGACATAATCATGTTTTGTAGTGAACTTTTTGAAGATATAATTGTAGGCAATTAGTAAATTGTGTTGCACCAAACCAGATGTATTGAAGTAAGCAGAAGTTTTGTTAGGTTTTTGGATTAAACAACAACAATTAATGCAGACTCCTTATTAAATACAAACACAAATCCACTAGCATGTCTGTCAGTTTCCATTTGAAAAATCAATGACTGACTTGCTCAAAACCCCATGATCTTTTTAATTTTTGCATTCATTGTAATTCTGATCAACCCAGATAAGATATATATATATATATATATATGACTCTGTGACTTGCAGGAGTTGTTTGAATCTCAGTGCCTGGTTAGACCTTCCATTATATGAGGCCGAATCAGAAACTTCATTATGTATATACTTCGTTAATTAATATGATTTTAGTTTTACTTTTGTATGTATACCCACGTGGGTTTGGAGGAAATATTTATAAAAAAAATTTTTGATACACTAAAAATATTATCATATCGAAAGTTCTTTACATTAATCATAATAAATAGAACAACATCTAAATAAAGAGACACCCAAAAATATTTGGTTTATGTATATTATATATATATATTCAAGTTTATCCTTTTTACTATTCTCCATTACAGAGATCTCAAGTAATTCATGGGTTGAAGTTAAGCCATCATGCACACTTCACATTTCTGCATACTGATCACACTTTCGAAGGACTCAAGGAGTTCCACACCTTATTTTTCTGGGTAAAAGCTGCTTTTCTGCACGTGCAATTTTCAACAAGAAGTTGAATTTACTTCAAACAACTTTTGACTTAATCCTAAACATAGAAAATACCACAATGTTTGCACCAATCTTCATTAAAAAGTCCTCGAACATTTCCTAGGGTTTGTTTGTCTTTGTTCATTTTACCACCCACAAAGAAAAGAAAAAGCTAGAAGAAGCTTTTTTCTTTTGGTATTGATGAAGAAAAAGCTAGAAGCACAGAAGCTAGAAACCGCTTTCTCTTCTGTTAAGCAAAAGCTCTCTCTTTCTTATGTGGGTCGTAATGTTGAACCCTGTTAAGGCAAGTCATTTCATGTCATGCACACACCTATTTTGTTTTTTTTGTTTTGACTTCAGCTTTCAGCCCTTTTAAGGCTTTTGCTTTTCTTTTTCCCAAGTGCTGTATCTTTTTAGTGTTAGGTAAGAGGTCAAAATAGCTGCCAAGACAAGCTTATTTGATTAAGCTCCTTTCTTGCTAGCTAGCATGCAGCTGGTTATTTTATGTTAAAATATAATAAAGCTTAAGATTGCTGAGAGTAGCTGGTAAATAAAAGATAACGGAAAATTATATCTCCCATGAGCTTTTATATATATATACACACACACACACACACAGCAGTAGTCCACCTTGTCTTTTGTCTCTTTATTTTCCTTTTAATAGCCTGAGCTCAACTTTTGACTATTTATGAATCAATTGCTACAAAATGATTTTGCTTCTTTTAATGCAATGCAAAAAGCAAATGTATATTGCAAAAGCTTCAAAGGTGACATAACTTTCTTGGACAAGAGACTAGCCAATAAATAAATATATATATATATATATATAGCAACCTTTTCAAAGAAACTGTTTATACATACATGCATAACAGAGTAAATGTTGCAGGCTGACAAATCTGCTTTACAAATAGATTTGCATTAAAATTGGGTCAATTTCATTGCATGCTTAAATATTCTTTTTATTTCTTAACTCAAACTAGCCAATTCATAAATTATTTCTTGACAGCTTATTTCTTAGTACCCAATTCTTAAATTATATTCTTTTATATATCTGTATATACACGGTATATTTAAAAAAAAAATCTTGGTGTTTGTAACAGTGGACTTGGTTCAGCTTTTTTTTAAAAAAACCCTTTGTGAGTGGTCTACCTCCATGAATGTGTTTTTTCTATTGGAAAAAAATCCAGTGTTTATTCTGTTACAATTAATGCTTCTTGGATTCTTGTTTTGGGAAGCAGTGGATTTTTTTTTCTCTGCTTGAGGATTCTTGTCATTATCTCCTGTTATGTATTTGGCGCATTTAATGCTGTCTCAGTGAATTTTCAATTGTTGGATTTAAACTTTAAACCCAGTTTGTGGGCACGATACTTCCTTATTCCATGCCTGAATTGACATGGCGGGCTTCTAGCTTCATCAACTTCATGGAACCAAGAGCTTCAACACAGAAGCGCTCTAACAGGTACCTGCCTTTTGATGAACCTTTTGTGGGTTTTATGTTTGGATTCATTATGTATTCTGTATCTGAGCATGAGAATGGTATTGGAGAAACACCACGTTTGAATCCTTTAACATGTTTCTCCCGTGGAAGAGAAACCTATAATGTGTTTGATAATTTGCCACTGTGGAAATCTTGGCTAATGATCCTGAAAGTAGTGACAGAGAATCTCTGAACTGGGTTTTCTGGGTAATCAGAATCTATGCATTTTCGTAGTGAAAAAGAGATTTTAATGAGGAACTACGGTTGATTTTAATGTTCTTGTCATGACTTCTGTTTTTCTTTTTCTTACCACAGCTATCAATTTCAACGAAATTTCCAGAAAGCTAAGATTGATTCTGTCTTTGAAACTGCTAGTTTCTTTAAGTTGGTAAGATTTCAAGGCTGTTTCTTTGTTTAGGTGACCAAGTCCAACTGTTTGATGATCTTTTGTTTTTGTAAAAGGAAATGGAACAGTTGAAGGGAAGTGTTGAAGCAAAGAAGAGGCTACCTCAGAATGGTGAGGCTCAAGATTCCTTAAAGAAAGAGGTAGGATCTGAAGTATTCCTGTGTGAACCTCAGAGTATTCTTAAAGGCCTTTGCTTCAGAGTATCTTTAGTTAGATAAATATAATAACTACTTATATATATATATAATGTGTTCCTGCACTTTTTTGTCTGCAGATTTCACAGCTTCAAGAACGATTACATGATGAATTTGCTGTCCGTCATGCTTTGGAAAAGGCATTAAGTTACAGGCCACTTTGCCATGATTCTAGAAATGAAAATTCAATCCCTAAGGTATAACACCACCTATCTGTTAAAAACCAAAAGAAAAAGATCTATGAACTACTGTCATTCTAGAGATGAAATCCATTCTTTGGTAAATAAGTGAGTTTGTTAAATAATAGAGTTAAATTATTTTTTTTCCCAGAAAACTTAAGAATCCAAGTTGAACTTTGATACCATATTAGATAATAATACTGAACCACAATTTTTTCAAAAAATTAAATCGGATAGAAAATTACTCAACTCAACATATTATTTATTCATATTAACAGTATTTCTGTATAATCCAAAGACAAGATTAAGCTGGGCTGTATAATCCAAAGACAATGTCTTAACATTGGTTGCAAAAACACCCCCAAAATAGAATTTTAGTGTCAAACTAACACGAGGGTTTTAAACAGAGTAAGAACAAAGCTTGGAGGCTGCTCATACTGGTTTTATTAGTTGATCTTTGGCTTGGGAATGCTAACTTAAAAATCAGCAGGTTGCTCATATTGGTTTTGCTTGTTTTTCAGGAGGCCAAGGAACTAATCAAGGAAGTTGCGTTGTTAGAGCTTGAAGTTGTGTACTTAGAGCAGTATCTACTTTCGTTGTACCGAAAAAACTTTGATAAAACTATATCAATGATGTCAACCATAGATGAAAGACTGAAACCAAATTCAGTGTTGGATAAAGGAATTACCCAGGAGGTTACAGACAACGATACTTTGTGGAAGAATGATAACTCAGTTTCCAGATCTGGACTCCTTAAATCACCTAGAAGAAATTCAGTAAGCAGTTCTCCAAAGGAATGCAATGACTCCTTGGGACAACAGAAGCTGTTAGATTCTGGTATCCATCGCAGCCACTCTTCGCTATCTCAGAATGCAGCGCATTCATTTAGAATGTCTCCTTCATCAAAAGCTGTCGCTAAAGCTGTGGACTCCTATCATTCCCTTCCTTTATCAATGCTTGAGGTAAGCAAATCACTTCATAGAACTTCCTTAAAGGCAGTTGTTTTCAAGCTATTACTGCCATTTACACTCATTGTCTACTGATATTTTTGGCAATTTTCTTGGTATACTGTTGTGAAATGAAACAATATGCCTTCTCTTATTTGTACATTTCAATGTGTTCTCTTCAGCAAGCTCAGACTGATACTTCAAATGGAGAAAGTTTGGCTATGCATCTCGGAACCTGCATTTCTGATCATGTTCCAGAGACACCAAACTGGCTTTCTGAGGAGATGGTCAAGTGCATTTCAACCATTTATTGTGAACTTGCAGATCCACCATTGATGAATCAGGATTACCTCCCTTCTCCAGTTTCATGTTCATCATCAATGGAGATGTTATCTTCACAGGACCAGGGTGATTTTCGGAATCAAGAGTGGGGCAATTTTTCATCTTTCAATTCAGATTTCGATCACTCTTTCCAAAATGGAGATTCAAAAGAATTTGGTGGCTCGTACAGCTTAATGGCTAAGGTGCAAGGGATTCAGAGCGAGAGTCAGGAGACTAAAGATATGAAATATAAGCTGCGAAGATATAGGTAATCCTTCTTTCCACACCCTTAAAACTTATCTAGGAGAAAGAGTAAAGAACAGATAATGAAACAGGATAGTTTCTAGGCCTCTTGAAACTTTATTTTTTAAAATGACTTCACCTAAATTTTCTACTCCAGGTCACTGGTTTACCGCTTGGAAGAAGTTAACCCTAAAATAATGAAGCATGAAGAGAAGCTAGCTTTCTGGATTAATGTGCACAATGCTCTGGTGATGCATGTAATGCTCCCTAACCTATAAAGTGCTTATGGTGTTTCTTTTGTTTTATTTTTGTGTGTATTATGAGGAAATGCAACCATATTTTCTTTGTCATCTTACAGGCATTTTTAGTTTATGGGATTCCAAACAATAATCTGAGAAGAACTTCTTTGATACTCAAGGTGAGTAGAGCTTCGTTTATCTGTAACTCTTGAATAGAAAATTACCAGATATTTTATATTCATGAGCCTTTATATTCACTCAGGCTGCATACAACGTGGGAGGCCAAACTGTAAATGTTGATGTGATTCAGAGTTCCATTCTCAGATGTCGAATGCCTCGTCCTGGCCAAGTACGGCTCGAGATCTCATCTGTTTAAGTTTATTTTTATATCTAGTTATCTAGATTTTACCATACTGAATACCAGTAAATAAGATATATTCACACAATGAAGTGGTTGACAATGGATGTGAAAAGGAAAAAGAAACACAACTTATTCTAATTTTCGAAATTTTTTAGAAGTTCTATAGACTCCACTAACTTAATTTATCATATCTGACCACACTTGTGTTTATATGAGAAAACTGCAAGACTTGTTTTTGCCTGCCCTCTAATTTCTCAATCCATCACAAAGAAAACATTTATAGAGCTTTCTTGTGCTTGCAGTGGTTACGATTGTTACTGCCTTCAAAACCGAAACTTAAGGCTGGAGATGCCCGAAAAGCATTTGCAATTCAGCACCCAGAACCTCTTTTACATTTTGCACTTTGTACAGGATGTTATTCTGATCCTGCAGTATGCCTCTAACTTTACTCTCTGAGCCACTCAAAGATCTCATTTTCAGATACAGAAAAATGATATTGTTTGTGTTTTATGTTTCTCCAGCTCCGCATATACACTCCTACGAGAATACGACAGGAGCTAGAAGCTGCAAGAGGAGAGTACATACAATCAAACATTAGTCTAAGCAAGGACCAGAAAATTCTTTTACCCAAGATTGTAGAATCTTTCGCAAAAGATTCCAATCTGTGTATAGTTGGTTTGCTTGAAATGATTGAGCATGATATGCCTCATTCTTTAAAAAAGAAGATTCAACAGTCTCAGCATCGAAAGTCTGGGAAGGCTATTGAGTGGATCCCTCACAACTTTGTATTTCGTTACCTGTTATCAGAAGAATTAGCTTAATCATCTAAATTCTCTGAATCGGCTCAGATAGGAAGTGAGGATGAAACTGGTATTTAAGGAACTAAAAAACAGCCGGCTTCATTGGTGTTTTCTAGCTCTCACGCATGGCATTGTCATGGTGGCTTGCGGGATGGACAGTTAAATCATGACATAATGGGTCCCCTTTCTTGCTAATGATATATGGTTAGCTACCAAGTACTTCATAAGAATATTTGATCAGACAGGCTCAGGATCATTGAGCACAAATGATGAAGTAATTTGTGGAAAATTTCAGTCTACCCCATGATATGTCAAGCTCTGCCATAAGCTTGAGCTGGTTTGATCAGGATTGTTCTTAGAACATTTGGGTATGATTCAGCTGTCATTTCCAATTTCCGACTGTAATATAAACTAGAAAGATCAATAAAAATTTTGTAACTTTTTTCTTACTTTCTTTTCGGGATTGTTCTCTTATCAACTAGTTATTAGATGTTTCGAATCCTCTAAGAAAGAGAAGTCAAATCTCACTTAAAGTTAAAAGGAAATAAATTCCACAACCAAGAAATTCATATACAAATCTTTGTGTTCGAAACATGTCAAGAGTAACATGAGAAATTTGAGATGGAGATTAAGTGGTAACAAATGGAACTGAAAGCAAATGTGTATTATTCTAGTAATAAGAACAAAAATCACAAAGAAGAAGAAAGCAACCCTGCTTTAATGGGTCATATTCACTGAAGCATTGCCCTTGCAGAACAGCCATAGATTTTTCTTGAGCCCAGAGGCAAAAAGCTTTCACCTTGTCTCTTTCTTATACTTGGCTTTTATGTTTTTAAATAAATTACTTGGGAATTTCAGTTAAAGACTCAATTATTGTGATCACCCACCTTTCAAGGCCACAAGTGATCCATACCTCTTTTAGCACTTTCAGGAACTCACACTCCTGAAAACCCTAACCCAAGCCTTGTCCTTGCTCATACAAGAGTAACATTTGTTTACTTGTAGGTCAAGTGAAGGAAAAATAGAAGTAAGTCCATGGATCAACTGGCTATTGTAATCAAACAGGAAATTAATGCTTTTGAATTTTCTAAACTTGATCCCTAAGAAAAAATGAGCTTAAGCCATTTTATTTCACAATGGATGAACTATTCAAAACTATAACAAACTTTCGTTTTTTTAGTAAAGAATAAGAACACAACACTAAACATTAGCTGATTTACACTTTTTTTCATGTAGCTCCATTCAACACAGCAAAATAAATATTTGACAAGACACCACTGACATTCTAGATATTTTAAATGAATAGTTACCAGCATAACAATATTGACGCCTTTAAGCCAGAATGTTCTTTCAAAGCAGATAGACATCAAAAAAATACAATATAAAGTTGACCGAGATGGATAAATGCGCGAGCAATATACCCTTTCAACTGGTTCTTCCACTTCTTCTTGAATCTTGATCAACAGAGAGTTAATCATTTCTAACAGACAGGCTAGTCTAGGTCCCATACATTAAACCTAGGAAACAATGATCGACACTCGTGGACTTTGGGCTTGTGTAAGAATTGCTAGGCTGTTAGAATAGATACCAAAAGCAGGAACTCGTTGTCTACATTAAGAGCTTTTAACCATGGCTGGATAGACAAGTTGAAACAGACCATACATATTAACATAGCATAAAGAGGGAAAACTAGTCAAAGTCCAGAGATTCTTTTCGTTCTTCTGAATGGCAATGTCACACTGGAGTGTTTTATTTACTAACATTGGTCGGAGTAGTTTACCAGGATGTCTAATCAACATACAAAGATCATCAATCAGTTCGGATGCCACCCATAAAGGTCCTTGGATCAGGACAGTTCCCAGTAAACTGAGCTTGCGAGAAGTCAAAACCAGGATTCTGCATTAAAAAATACTTTGTAAGTGGCAGACATTCTTGAAGGCCAAAACTCTATTCATATACCCACAACCCACAAAGTTGGGGATAAGAAATTATAAAGTTGATACCTGACCAATCAGCCCTTTTCAGATCATCAAGAACATCAAGGAAATAAAACAGACAATAATAACTAAATGCCATCTGGAAGCAAAATCTTTCTTCAAAAAGGAATGACTTATCAGAACAAAAAGATTCCTAAACAACGATGCAGTAACCATCAGATCTAGGTGGTGCTTATGCTTTCGCATTCAGAGAACTTCCCTCTTTTTACAAAGCCATTTAGAAACCAGTAACCACATCCCAGTTTGCATATTAATACAGTAATAATATCTTAGAGAAACCGTCAAAATATAAGTAACAAAAATTAAGCAGACAAACAGTAGCAGCACACAACGGTCAAAGCAAATCCAATAAGAGTGCAGATCAACCCAAAAAGTAAAATAACTAAAAGATGAAACTAAAAAAAGCAGCTAAAACAGAATCACCATGTCAATGTGGATTATCACTTTCAACAGTTTCAGCTATCTTGTCAAACTACTACTCAAGCATAGTACGTGTGAGATCCAAATCCTTCACATGGGAAGGTGGAAACTTTACAAGTGTAATATAAGCTCCAAGTTTATGTTCTGAACTTCCCAATAAACTGTAAATTCTTACTAATGTAAGACCAAGAGTTCAGAGAGAAGATAAAAACAAAAATGCTTACTGTATTGTGAGATGTGAACTATATCCTCCATTTCCATTGTGGAAAACAACTGTTAAATCAAAATGCAGAAGTTTTCGAACCTCGTGAAAGATAAACCTAAAATAACTATCATAACATAAAATCATATAACACTTAACAATTTTACATGTCAAATTCACACTAATGCCACAAAAATTAAGGATGGATCCACCAGATACACCTTATCTAATGGCTGCCTAGGCACCCTGCCAGTTTTGAGTGTGAGACTAGGCCAATAAATACTGGAAAGGAATTACGGAATCGGAATAAGTAGTTTCCACACATTTTAAATCAACACTTAGACCATAAAAAAAGCAAACAAACCGATAGTTCAGAAAACCAACAACTAGTAAGTCCAACGCCGTAATAGTAGGAAAAGGAGGGTAAATTGTCAGACCTCTTCTTGAAATCTTTGAAGCATGAGACGCTTCTGCTCAAGATCAGTGGAGTAAGGATCCAGCTGACCCTGACCCAGAATAGGCGAAGACCATGTATTTCCCTTATCCCTCTTCTGCAGTGTTATGTGCATAACACCATCCTCTGCCGTGCAAAAAAAGAGACACCTCAGCACCCAACAATAATATATAAGATCACGAAAAAAACTAGTCTTTCCTTTCTATTATTCATTCTCATGTTATCTGATAAGTAAGTCTGTGGAGTAAAATGAAGTGGGCTTTTCCTTCTTTCATCCTCAGATTTCTCGATCAAACAGATTAACAAATGAGAAGCAAATTAAACTTTTCCAGGCAAAAAAAGAGTACCTAAAGTCCAGAAAGAGCAATCAGTCTTCACAGGGCAAGAAAGCTCATGCTGAAAATCAACGAATCAAACCATGTCAAATAAACGACAATAAAACAAGAGAAAAAATGTTTAAAGAGGGGAAAAACATATTTGTAAAAGGAAATTTTCGAAAAGTTTACATTGAGATAAGGAGGGTTTCCTTTGATGCCCACTTCAACGTGCTTCGACTGAATCTTGCAATAAAATTGCTTGGGCTGAACATTTGGCGGTAAATTTATGTAAATATTCACCTCGTCTAGGGTTTGATCCCATTCAAATACCTTCTCACCTGAAAACCAAAATTTTGAAGACACACGCGAGCATTGCATTACTATTCATGGTTTTCAACCAGATGATCCAATAAACAGAGACAAAACATCAAGAAGAAGACAGAAAATTATAGAGATAGAAGAACACCGTTGTGGGTGAAACTGTGTCGTTTATCCGGTGCTAATTTCTCTGCCATTTCTAGGGTTTGTTTGCTTCACTTTCGTTTCTCACGTCCGTAGTTTATGCTGGCAGGGTTTCGGAGACAGCTTTTGCCCGGTCTTGTCTTGATGGTTCGATTCCCTCCACTATATTAAAATTTACTAATTAAATTAAATTATAAAAAGAGGAATATTTGTAAATTTACATTTCATTAATTTTATAAATTCAATATTTTTTAAAAGTAGAAACTTTATTATTAATAATAATTTTATATTTATTTTAAAAATTGTAAATTTTTTGTTTTTAAAAAAGACCGAACTGAAAATAGTAATGAAAATAAAATTGGAAATATGCAAAAACAGGCATCACCAGCTTTCATTTTGTCTCTTCCTTCTTTTTTTTCCCCCTTGAAAATTAAAAAAATAAAAATTGAAACTTTTTGGGAATTTCGGTTAAAGGTTCAATTTTGTTATATGATTCCACAAGATTTTGGCCTGCAAGCCACATGCTTTCATTTTCACTGACTAACGAAATTCAAGGCCACAACTTTTTCAATACCTGTTTTGGCGCTTCCAGGAATCTTCTTCCGCACCCACTTTTGAAAACCCTAAATCTAACCAAATTATTCATCTTTCTTCTCAGCCATCCTACAGTGGCAGGGGTAGTGAGGTAGAGGAATGGAAATGGAGGAAGAGGGAATAGGGTTAGTGTTGGCAAGAGCTACGGAGCTGAGATTGAAAATCAGCAACTGCATTGATTGCATTGATAAATCTACCAGCAAGGACTCATCTCCTAAAGAGAGCTGGAAGCAGGAAAAACAAGGGAGTTTTGTTAATGGAGATCAAAGTCCCAAGGATTTTCAGTCTCAAGAGGAAGTGAGTGTGGAAAAAGAAGGAGAACAAGAAGGAGAAGAAGAGAAAGAGGAGGAAGAAGAAGCAGAGAGTCTTTTGCATATATATGATGCCTTGGAGTCCCTTGAGACCCAGCTTGCTGCTTTGCAGGTTTGTGCCAATTTACTCTCTCTTTTTTCTTCTTTTTTTTTTTCTGGGTGTGGGAGAGGATGAGGAACTTGGATGCATAATATGTAATTTTTTTCCGTAAAATTCATTATGGGATTGATGGACCTTTGTTTTATTTATAAAAATTCTTTCAATTTATGTTCTTAGTGCATAGGATAATAGCAAAAAGGTTATGTTTACTTGGAAGATTATTTCTGTTAGATCTGTAAGACAAAAGATAACAAGGATCAAAACTTTAGGTTGATACCTTCAGAAATAAGGCTACTCAGGCGTTTTATCTTACTGTATTGGTACTTAAAACAGTAAGTGCCTGAAGTTACTTAAGGAAAATAAATTCTTATTTAAGACATATATTTATTTATAATATTTTGTTACTTATATTATGTTAGTTATTACTATTAATCTAAAGAAAGATATCAAGAGAAAAAGAAGATATTGAGAGGGTAGTTAAGTAAATTTGTTGATAAACAAATAGAAACTCAAAAACTTAAGATTATGGTGTTTACTTTTTACATTTTTAAACTCATTTTTAAGTTTTATGTTATCAAATGTCAATATTGGAGCATGAGTGCTTAAAATTACTTGCAAGCACACATGTACCTTCAATTGAATCACCTACAATCATCCCAGACTCAAGATTTTGTGGGTTGTTTGCAGAATTGTTTAATACTTTTCTATATGTCATGAAGCTTTTGTCTATCTATGTTTCCTGTCTATATACAGTGATGTCTGAGAAGTTGTGGGTGCCTTGGTTAGAGAAATTGGGAATGATGTCATTTCAGTACCTATGAATAGTCCTTCCTCATCAAACTGTCGGAGAATGGATGTATTAGGATGTTTGTATTTTTTATTTTGGTTACCAGACAATCTGGGATGACTCGTTAAACCATTATCTTTTCTCTTTCTTTGCGGATTCTGAAGTTTGAGATGAAGCAATATACTGTTGTCTGGCAAGCATTATTGGATTAGTGGAATGTAAATAACTATTTTCCGAGTGTAAGCATTATTGGATTAATTAAAATATAGTGTTGTCTGATAAGTAAAACTTTTGGGCTCCTTGATGTTAGACATAGCTTCAGTAGTAAGAACTAGGAATTCCCAATATCAGGAAATTGGGATTTGGCAATATGAGCACATCCTTCCAGGACAACCTCTAGTAACTAACATATGCAAGCATGTTCATATTTTTTTCCTTAGGAAATGCTACTTTTCCAATAATTTATTATCTTCGCATGTTTCCATGGTATGTTGTGTTTAATTGTTTTGTTGCATGGAACCTGCTATTGTACATAGCTATTTTGAGCCTCATATACAGATTCCCTGTCAATTTGAATGTTTATCTATGCTATAACCTGTAGATATAATGCACTTTTCACGGTTACTGTTAACTCTAAGAGTGGCATATGTTCTAGATACCCAAGTCGAGTAGCTCTCTTGTATAAATTATAATGGTTTCCAATTTCTGTATTTCTCTGATCACTAAACATTTATATCACCAGTGCTCTTACCAAACAAAATATTTCATTGTATTTGATCAACTTCTTTTTTGTTTCGGAATTCTAGGCATCTAAAAGTTGAGAAGTCATAGGGTACTGATCCAAAATTATCAGTTCCCTTGTTGCAATTTTTTTAATAATCCAATGTAATAGAGCTTAACACCACCTGCTGGCGAAGGGGGAAAATATTTACTAATGTCCTAGCTTTATTTTGATGGAAGGCTTGAGTTGGTTTTTATGACTGTCAATAGTATATGTTAGCTTCTGAAATTCTTTGGCACTTCATTCTTTCTGGACTAATTTCCATGAGTCGTATCACTCTTTTAACCGGAATAAGATAAAAATTATGTGCCCTTTCTGGGTCGATCATGCAGATATCTGTTCATTTTATCTTACAATTTAGCATTTGTGAAATCCAATTTTGATACTTAATAAAGAACACAGAGTGCCTTTGAACTCTATAATTTCAAATACTTGATAAGGTTTTCTCCTGTTGCCAGAATCTAAGACAACGGCAACAATATGAGAAGCAAGCTGCTCTTGCTGAGATTGATTATAGCCGGAAAATGTTACTAGAGAAACTCAAGGACTACAAGGGGAAAAACTTGGAAGTGATACAAGAGGCTTCTGCTTTTGCTGGTGAAAAAGTAGAGTATGACAATGATCTCCTCCTTCCTCCATATCCAAGTCGACCTCCACAGTCCTCGATTTTGGATAACGGCTATTTGTCACACCTTACTTCAACGCAGAAACTTGTGCAAAAGGGAAAGCGCACTAGCGAGCGAACAAGTGAGGCAAAGAAGCAAATGGATAACAAAGAGAGAAGTAAAGTGCCTGCTGGGTCAGAAAACTCAAGGAAAGGAGTGGGACACGTCATTAGCTCAGTAGCAAAGATGGCGCTTCCCATTGTTGGGGTCATATGCATATTACGTTTGGGGGTTTCCGGGTCTGATCTTGGGACAAGAAGTATCTCTCACAAGGTTTTAGGCTTGTTTCAAAAACCCAGAACTGAAGAAAAGAGATCCTCTGTTCAATGTCCACCTGGGAAAGTCCCGGTTGTGGAGAATGGAAAAGCTCGCTGTGTTGTAAAAGAGAGGGTTGAAATCCCTTTCGAGTCAATGGTTTTGGAAAGAGATGTAAATTACGGGTATGGTTAGCCTCAACTATATTCTTCATCATGTGTATACTTCAGTTTTCTTGACATCTGGGGATAATGGAATTTTCTTTCTGTGTCCTATAGATTTTTCTTCTTTTTTTCTTTATAGATCCATCAAGTTTCTGTTTTTTTTCCTGCTTATCCTTTGTACTTGGTTTCGAGATGATCTTATCCCTGCTTATTCTTTATTCTTGGTAATTGAGATGATCTTTTTATAAGCTCAGATTTCCCTCCAATTTCATTGGTTTTCAGCACAAACATGGAAGTGCTTTTTTCTCTTCAACAGAACTGAACAAGTTTGCTTCTTGTTTGATTTTCGGACCATAGAATGTTACTAGTATCGGGAAGGGCTTCATTCCACTCAATGGATTTAGTTATCTTCTTTTTTCTCCTCTTCCTCATTCAGAATTTCTGAGATGGAATGATTTCCAGTTTCAATGTAATGGTTGGATTTATGAGTTACACATTCATTTCCAAGTCTGTGTGCTGCCAAGGTTAGCGGGAAGATCTATTAGTAAAAAGATAATCTGCAGGAATAAAAATATGAATGAAAAATTGGCTGCATTAACAATCTGCAAGTGAAAGTTGGCTCTGCCAAACTCTCAACGGTTAACTTGATTAATTAATTATTTCTAGCTTGGCATTTTGTGCGGCAGCCATCTTTCTTTCTGCTTTTGAAGACTGTCCTTGTAAGTGATGCACTGAATCTGTAAACTGCAAAAACCCAGTACTTCAAAAAACCTTTATTTGCAAAACTCTTCGACAAAAAGTTATGAACCCATGAATTCCAATATTATTTGGTAGAAAATCTCAAGTACCATTCTGAAAAACGAAGAAAAAGTTTTTGACTTTTCTCAAGTAAATTAATCTCAAAATATTTGCTTGGAAGACACACCACGCAAAGCCAATCTCAAAAATAATTACCGTTAGTTCATATATATTTACAAAGAGATGAATTTTCGTAATTTAATTATTAAATCATTATATTTGTTGATAATAATCCTAAATAGACTTGTATATTTTAATATTGGTCAAATGTATTCTGCACAGATCCCGTCTATGGTCAAACCCACCCATTTTCCCCTCTGTCTCCACATGAAGTGAACACCCAAAACCATTGCCTGCTTGCCACTTACAGCCCCTGGTTTTTGCATATACGGATTTGGCTGCTGAAAAATCTTGATATGCATAAAAAAAGATAACAACAAAAGTGGCTTCTTGACAACATCAAGAGCCATCCCCCTTGCTATTTATACACCAGTAATTCTGAAACTGCTCCATATCACCAAACTCCTATTTTACCCAAATTTGTTTTCTTAATCATCTCTAATGGCCACTTGTGAAGGTAGAGTTTTCACTCAAGAGCAAGAAGCTCTGGTGGTTAAGTCTTGGAATGTAATGAAGAAGAATGCTGCAGAACTGGGTCTTAAGTTCTTCTTGAAGTGAGCCAGATCCACAATACTACTCTTCTTTTATTTATTTATTTTATCTGGGCAACTTTGGGTATTTCAGTATGTATGATATTTTTATTGAAAATATCTTGTATTGAATATGTGTTGTAGGATATTTGAAATTGCACCATCAGCCCAGAAGCTCTTCTCATTTTTGAGAGACTCGAAGGTCCCTCTGGAGCAGAACACAAAGCTCAAGCCCCATGCTATGTCTGTCTTTGTTATGGTAATACATATATTTATTTTCTTTACAATTTTGCTTCACATGATATGTTATGGGCAACTTCTGCAGGACCCATTAAGGCTTTGTTTGGAGTAACCTCAGTTTCTTCCTTTTTTTTTTTTCCTGGAAAAGAAGACAATGATTTTGGGATTTATTACTTGTATTGACAATAACAAATTCTGGGTTTATTTTATCTTGCTTTTGCAGACTTGTGATTCAGCAGTTCAACTGAGGAAAGCTGGAAAAGTCACTGTGAGGGAATCAAACTTGAAGAAATTAGGTGCTACACATTTCAAGTATGGTGTTGTTGACGAACACTTTGAGGTATGATTTCAATATAAACACACCTATATCCAAATGGGCATATACATACATACATATATATATATATATAGAAGATAAAACAGTCTGCAAAATTTAAATTTGCAGGTTACAAAATTTGCACTACTGGAAACCATAAAGGAAGCAGTGCCAGAAATGTGGTCGGCAGAGATGAAGAATGCATGGGGAGAAGCTTATGATCAATTGGTTTCTGCCATTAAATCAGAAATGAAGCCTTCCTCTTAATTAAAATTCCTTTTTTCACTCAGTATAATCCACCACTTGTTACTATAAAAATCAAATCCCATAGTTCCTACACCAGATCTATATAGTTGTTGTTGTGTTTGTACGCAAAATTTATATAATATACATTAGATTGGACCAGTCTCTCTCTCTTAACTGACTCGCCATATATATACATAAACACACATATATATATATATGGATATATATGTACATAAGTACTCTTGAATTCAAATATATATAAAGCTTTATGAGGCACATGCATCACACTACAAATCATTGATATTAAACTGAAACCCACCAAGAAAAACAGAGCACCAAGAATCATGTCATAGAAAAACAAAGTATTTAATAGATTTAAAGTTGAATTCTTTGATTATCTCGTTTGGTTGGAGATTTGATTTCTATCATCTCAAATCGGATCGGAACTCCAAACAATCTGTAATTGTTCTTGAAACCTCGCAATGCCTTTCTTGATGAATCCAATTGAGCCACTGCCGAACTGGCCTTGACTGCCAGTTCGCATAACTCTTTGAGACTAATGCGTGCTCCCAATTTAGAGAGTGGCATGACGAAATAAATTTGACCCAATTGGAGTTCGTCGTCTTCTCCAACACGGAGAATACACGAGTCGACGAATATTGATTCGGAGTTGCAGAGAAAATAGTTTTGATTTGCAGAGAGCACGTGGCGGGCTCTGATTGGCTGCTTGAACTCTTGTAGCCTTCCATCTGCATGGATTACCTTAATTGTTGCTGATGACCAGGTTAAGCTGCTAATGCCCTTGTTTGTGTACTGCGAAGATGCACAAATGCCCATTATCTGTGTTTACATATATATATACATATATATACTAGTGTATATTCGTGCATATATATATATATATATGTATATGCATGTAAGAAAGACAGGAAGAGAGAGATGGTCTAATGGAGAAGAAGGATATTGAGGCTTATATAGAGAAAGATAAAGCATGGGCAAAGATACTTTGACAAGCTGACCAGCCAATAATTTTTTTCTTTTGATCAAATTATTATTATTTTAAAGCTTTTTTAAAATTCAATAATCAAATATTATATACACCCAGATTTTATAAATCCATAAAGAGATCTTAGCTTTAAATTTTTAATTCAATAAATATTAACAGCCCTGATACGTTTTATAATTTAATTCTATTAAATTTATTGTATAAAATTAAAAACATGCGCTAACGCCCGTTGTAAAAAAGACACGATACTTCGTAAGTGTATAAAATAAAAATTTTTTTTGTAAAATGATACAACTCTTGGTGAATATATAAAGAAGAAAAAATTATTTATATTATCGTTCTCTCTTTTTATATTAAGTTAAAGTATAAATAAATTCGTATTTTGAAGCGTAAAAATTATCCGGAACTCTGACAGCATTAAAGAAGAAAATAAAAAACATCAACAATTATTTTTAGTTACCAGAAAAGCAAACATTTTATCTTATTTTGAAGCAACTAATCCATTTATATCTATATATATATGTGTGTGTATGTGAGCGTGGGCATGTGATATATATGTATATATATCATAGCCAATCTCCAGTTTCTTTTTCTGGAAAAGTTGATAAACATAAATTTCGTTCATGCACGATATATAGAAACATGGACCGACCATTCACCCATCAACATGAACAGTGTAACCTTTGTGTTTTTCTTGTTTTAATTATATTTGATATTCGACTGAAAAGTCAAACATTGACCGGGTCAACACGTCAACCCCGGGACATGAGGGTCCCGATAACCCCAGCAATAAGCGCGGTGGGATCCCCCAGCACCGCCGAGATCACAAACTGCACCGCCAGCCCAGCCATCTCACAACACTTCCTAATCTTCCCTTTGCTCCTAAACCCTCCCTGGTTATGATGGCTCTGCAACGTGTTCTTCAAGCTCGGAATCCTCGTCTCCAGCTTCCGACTCTTCCCACCTCTCCCAAAATACAACTCGTGCCAGCTCTCCACCAACATCTCCTTCACGCACGCCACATGCAGATTATACCTCTTGCACGTCGACCTGTAACTCCAGCTCCTCCCTTTCCGCCCGCACCGGTGACACGACGAGCTCACTTTTCTGTACAGGTAAAGTTTCACATCGCCGTCGTCGAGCACCATGGGGAGCTTCGCGCAACACGGGTGCAGATCGAAGCCGCAGGAGTTGCAGTGGTAGAGGAAGCCGGTGATGTCTTTCTCGCAGGCGTTGCAGTAGCGGGGAGTGTCGCCGGGCGGGCGGGAAAGGAAGCGGAAGGAGCATTTGGTGTAGAAAGGGTGGGTGATGGAGGGAGCAGGGAGGGCGCAGTGGATGTGGAGGTCGAAGTCGCAGATGGCGCACTTGTAGCGGGACCCTATTCCGACCTCCTTGCAGCCGTCGCACTTGAATGGAACCTCTGAGTACTCGAACTTGAGCCTGTGCTGCGGGTGGCTGAAATGGGAGATCTCGTTGTATTTCATGCCTTTTGCCTTTTTTTCTTTTTTGTTTTCTTTTTTGAAGGCAATGTGAACCCAAGTATTCATATTTATAAGGATAATTATACGTACGAATTAGTTGTGGATAAAACTAAATATGATTAATTAACGTTAACAAAATTAATTTAATTAGTAACTATTTGAGATTTATTTTTAAAGGTAATACTTTAAAAGTAAAATTTTCGACATGGACTTTTTTTGTGTGTGTGTGTGTGTATGAGTTTCCAAATTTCATAACTAACATATACTTGTTTAATTCACTTTAATTATTGTAAAATAATTTATGAAAACAAAATGTAAAGTAATTAACACTAATTATGTAATTAGTGACTAATTTTTCGATTTTAATGACCTAATCTAATCGGATTTGGCTTGTAGATGAAGCTAAGTATATAAGGATCGAATGATTTGGTGGGTGATGGTGGTTTAATGGTGGTGATGAGGAAAAGACAGACACCAAGCATTTTTGGTCATACCCACTAGAGAATTTCGAATTTTCACTTTAGAATTAATGACTCATCAAACCCTATTAATTATTAATCTACATATAGAATGTAATTTTTTTTTAAAAAAATAATAATAATATTTTCTTACATATATAATAATCATATATTACTTTAATAAATTATAATATTGAATTTTCATTTTTATCCCAATAAATAAAATTTTTTTTTTTGCTAATTTATAAGTTAATGTTTACTAATTTTTCAAAATTTAATTTCTACACGTAAATTGAAATTAATACTTTAAAATTTTAAACTAGAGGTATCGTGAAGTTATCGAAAATTTAGGAATTCCAAGATAAAAAATAAGGAATTTAGCATCTTATATTAAACAAGTTGTTTGGAATTATAAGTAATGTATAGACTTTAATTATAAGGATAATCTTCTTTTCATTTTATAATTTTTCTAACATAGGCAAAGTATCCTTGAATCTTGGGATAAAATAAATAATTACATTTATTACAATCATTATTATTATTATTATTGTATAGAGTAAAGTTTTTGAAATTTAATTAATATCAATAATGAATTTAATTAATTTAATTTAATTATTACTAGTAATTGTATACATAAAATATGATTATTTTTTTTTTATGATATGGTCTTCAAAATGATGACTTGGGTTGATGGAATACTAGATTAGTTAGAATTTAAGGTATCAATAACAATATATATATATATATATATATATACACTAAATATGTGTGTAGAATCAAAAACTAAAAAAATAAAAATTATTAATCAATAAGGTTGCTTCTATTCATTTATATAATAATGTTTTATTTATAATTTTTTAATTATTGTTATGTAAATGTTACATACTTAATAAAATATATAATTTTTATCAAAAATAATTAAAATCTTAATCATATAAAATAAATTATTATACTTAATTGATTAGATTATCTTAATTAATGATCTCTTAAAATTAATAGAAAATAAATTTACAAAGAATAAATTCCTCTTCCCTCCCCCCTTGAAAATCATATTCTTTAAGTAGATTGTGCTTCTCTCTCTCTCTCTCTCTCTCTCTCTCTCTCTCTCTCTCTCTCTTATATATATACACACACATACATATGATAACACTAAAGTAAGATATATGTATATATATATATTTAAGGGGGCAAAAAAACATTATCCATTTTGCATGAATATTGAATCAGCAATCAACTTGAATGGAAGTAATGTATATATACATATATATATATATATATGTATGTATGCATGTAGATAATGATTGGCATCTTTTATCTCCATACTTCCAAGTCTCATCACTACCATAGGGAATTGATTCACCTAATTGGATTAAGGGATATTGTTTACTAAAAGAACACCCTAGTCTCATAAACTAGATTAATTAGGCTAAGATGCCAAATAAACCATATATACATACATATATATATATATGTATATCATACTTGTCAATTAATGTACTTGTGAAACTAGAATATTAGGATAAGTAAAGTTTATATTTCTTATATAATAAATTAGAATAATTAATAAAATTACAAAAATGTCTATTTGAAAAAAAGTTAAAATAACAGAAATAAAAATAAAACTAAAATACTATGCGGTTAACCTTCATTTGGAACTTTGATGGGGTCCGAGAGGTAACATTTACTCGCAAACCTTTTACTGTTCAGAATCTAAATCTTTGTGTTCTTGATCTGAAATGGTTAAATAAAGCAATGATCTATACTAGTTCAGTAAGAATATCACAATAATCATTGATACAAAAAATTAAAAGTTGGTAAAAATTATAAAACAACTTATGGAGCTATTAATTTAGATAAATTCATTTAACATAAAACTTTCTATTTCATACTTACTATTATGAGTTTTCAAAATCGACTTATGAAAACAATAACTCAAATAATATTGTGATTTCATATCCAGTGAGTAAGACTAGCAACTTACATTTTTACCTGTTTACCGGTATCTCTAGGGGTCCATAGGGATGTCCCTCTACGCGTGAATCCAATAACCAATTTATCATTTAACTTGTCGTCCTCATACCTCGTTGGTAATGGGGGTCAAACATACTATTGCATCGATACTCCGTCCAGTATGAGGGTGAACCATATCTCTCAAACCCTTCCAATATGAGACTTCTCAGCCCTGTCCGATTGAAGTAATGTCCACAGTAGGATTTTTTCTATGTACCAGGTCCGTCAACCATTTCCGATGGTACTCAGTAAACCTTTCATACGTAAATTCATACCATTATCAAAAAAATGTAATTGAGACATTTATTGCAAAACGAACCAACAAATAAGGGTTATATAGTTAGACAGACTAAATAACTGAGAAACCAATTAAAACTAGCAATTTAACACAAACAATATAATAATAAGTATTTTGGGCAGTACATGAGAAAATAAGCAGTAAACTATGACAATTATGTTTTAACCGATTATATCTCCACTAGTGACATGTAATTAATTTTAAAATTTTTTAATTTTCACAAAATATAATTTTATTGATTATTAAACTTTAATTTATCGTAATAGAAAAAATGGTGAAAGATTCTTAGCTCGAATCAGTTTTCGAAATACCGTACTTTCTACTGCGTCTCCTGGCGGTCCCTGAGTTTCATGAATTTTTTCTGTAAAAATTAAAACACCTGTCACATATTTAAAAATATCTCAAAATGCTAAAATAGGTATTTTAAAACCTTTCTGGCCTATTTTAGGGTTCTGGCACAGTGGCGGTGTCGGAGCTGCCACAGTGGCAGTTCGCCTTAGGCTAGTGGGTTTCGGCTGATTTTGGTCAGTTTTGCATGTAAACCTGCAAAAAATCCAGTTATGAGGCCTCGGTTAGCCAAAAAATACCAAAAATTAAAACTCTACCTGTGGAAGGCCTCCAGGTATAGCGGCTTCGTCGGTCCTCCTTCGTGGCTAACGTTTTCTTTCGATTAACCTGCACCAGAAAATAACGAAGAACACGGTGGTAAAAAAATCACGCAAAACAAAAAACGAGAAGGGGGTCACCAGAGAGGATTTTTGGTTTTGGCCGCGACAACTCGACCGAATTTTGCCTGCGATTTTTTGGCTATGATATAGGCATAGGGAGATTCGGGATTAAATTTCGAGCGAGAAGGGAGAAAAAAATACTTGTATTAGCGTCAACGGTGCTCCAGTACAGCGGCGACGGTGGTCGTCCTTCTTCTCTGGCGTCTGGTTCTTTTTCCGGCCGCCCTTCTTCTTCTTCTCCAATCGTTCCTCTGTCGGCTAGGGTTACGATTACCTGTGAAGATGAGTTTAAATACTCCTCTCCATCCGATCCCGACCTCCCGTTCGAGTCGACGTGGAATAAGGATAGTCGTCCGATGATTTTTCGTTTATGCTGATTGTGTGACCGAATTTGAACCGTCCATCACAATTAATCATATCCATACGATTGCATCTGAAGAGAAAATGCATCTGAGTCGTTCGTGTGCGCGGGATGCTATCTTGGCTATCAGATCGCCCAGACACGCGGATCGCACGCGTGGCCTCCCGCGTTGAGTCAATGTTAGTGTGTCCGCCACACGGCATGTTCTGACTCATGGTAGCTGTTGACCAGGCTATCCCATGTGTCCAAACTTTTCTTTTTTGCAATTTTATCTTATATTTTTTAAATTTTTTTTAAAAAACAGCTACTATTCTTCAAAATTTTACTCATTTTTTTAGAATTATTTTCAATTTCTATCTCTACTTTTATTTTTTCTCAAAATTTTTAAAAAATTAAAATAAAATATGAAAAAATTATATGTATATATTTTTATTAGTTTAAAAATTTATACCGAAACCGAGTCTTACATATTAGTTTAAAAATTGAGAGGAACAATTTTCTGAAAAAGAAAATATATTGTTTAATCATTTTGGTAGAAAGGAACATGTAAAGAATATAATATATTATCCAACAAGTATACAAAGTGATGTTTAATTTTGAGACATTTGCCCACATGCAATTGCTTGAATCTATACATATTTATACCTTCATTACATATATATACACATATACATACACACACACACACACAGAGTACTAATCATTTTTTCCCTAAAAAGTTTATGTTTCTCTTTTATAAAAATTCGTGTTATAATTTATATATATATATATATATATCTCATTTTATAATTCATTTGTGTAATTAGTTTTGATAAAAAAATATAAATATAAATATATTTAATTTTTTTCCATGTTAAATTAATATAGGAATAATAATAATATTTTTATAAATAAAATATAATTTATTTTTAATTTTTACAAAATTTATTATATATTCTTTTTAACAAAATTAATTTATATTTTAATACTAATTTTGACGTTAATAATTAATTTATTAGAATGAGTCACGATAATATTTACTTATTATTTACGGCCACCGTGCCAACCAAAGACAACGACGGCGAGCTTAAAAACCCGATCTCCGATCGGCGGCCGGTGCTTTTCACTTCACTCTCCTCCAATGGCTTCAGTCTCTATTCCAATTCTCAAGCGGATTCTCTTCTCTCCGTCTAAACCCAAACCCCTCCGTCTCTCGTCACTCTCATCTGCATCTTCTGTTTATCAGCCTCCGCCGACCGATCCCATTATATCCGATGCCGTTTTAATTCTGACCCACCACCGCTCCAAGTCCCGCTGGTCCACTCTCCTCTCCCTATATCCCTCCGGCTTCACCCCCTCCCAGTTTTCCGAAATTGCTATCAGCGTCAGGAACAATCCTCATCTTGCCCTCCGCTTCTTCCTCTTCACGCGCCGCCGAGCTCTCTGCACCCACAGCCTCCTCTCTTACTCCACTCTCATTCATATCCTCTCTCGCGCCCGCCTCAAATCTCGCGCGCAGAGTCTAATGAGTCTCGCTTTTCGCGCTGCGAGAAGTCCGGATGCTGACTCTGCTTGCTACGAAACTGAATCTCAACGTGTGTTGAAAGTGTTCGAGTCGCTTGTGAAGACGTATAACCGATGTGGGTCTGCCCCCTTTGTGTTTGATTTGTTGATAATGTCGTGTTTGGAGTCTAAAAAGATTGTGGGGTCTGTCGAGATTATGAGGAAGTTAATGTCCCGAGGAATAAGCCCGCAAATCAGCACCTGTAATGCTTTGATTTGGGAGGTTTCCAGGAGCAGAGGAGCATTTGCAGGGTATGAGATTTACAGAGAAGTTTTTGGTTTGGACGCTGAGTCTGAGAGGGATGTAAAATGGGTGGTCAGAGTTAGGCCTAATGTGCACACTTTCAATGCATTAATGGTGTGTTTTTACAAGGAAGGTGAAATGGAGAAAGTAAAGGAGATATGGAGTGAAATGGAGGAATCAAGTTGTAAGCCCGATGTCTATAGTTTTAGCATTTTGATGGAGGTTCTTTGTGAGGAGAGGAATATGAAAGAAGCAGAGAAGTTATGGGAAGAAGTGCAGGTTAGAGGATTAAAGCATGATGTTGTCGTTTATAACACAATGATTGGTGGGTTTTGCAGAAATTTAGAAATGGAGAGAGCTGAGGAGTTCTTCAGAGAGATGGCATTGAACAGGATAGAGAGCACTTCAGTTACTTATGAGCATCTTATAAAAGGATATTGCAAAGTTGGTGATGTTGATGAGGCAATGCTTGTGTATAAAGATATGCGGAGGAAAGATTTCAGGCCAGAGGCTTCAACTATGGATGCCTTGGTTAAAGGACTCTGTGATGAATTTAAGGTGCTTGAAGCCTTAAAGATGCTAAAGGTCGCAATGGCGGATTATCGTTTTTGTCCTACAAGAAAGAGTTATGAGTTACTAATAAAGGGCTTGTGTGAAGAGGGAAAGATGGATGAAGCATTAAAGCTTCAAGCTGAGATGATGGGGAGAGGATTTGAACCAAATTTAGTGATTTACAGTGCTTTTATAGATGGTTATGTCAAACAAGGAAATGAGGAAATGGCTGCTTCATTGAAGGAGGAAATGCTTGAAGCTCTAAAAGCTCAAAAAGACTCCGCATGTGAATGAGGACCGATCATTAACATGCATTAACATGGACCTACTTGGCTACATTTCTTATTTATGAAGAGCTCCGAAATCTAGATTTTCCACAGAAAAAAAAGCAAACTTCGTGCTAGAAATTGATTCTGCTCTCTGGTTCTAGCTTTTACTAAATATATACCACCATGCATCTTCTTCTTGAGTCTTCTTTTCAAGAGGGATATTATAATGTTGTTGAAGTGTCCGTCTAAAACACAAGAGTTCTTGACTCTTTCTAGACCTGCTAGATTGTTCATGTGCTAACTCCGAGTTGAAGATCAAGCCAAAGGAATTTCAGGAGATCTGTACTCTCTCTTGTTTGTAATTATTTCAGGTAATTCTTCAACTCTGTTGCTTTTACTCTTCCAAATCCCTAGTTTTTACTCTAACTCCAGTTTCAAAAGTTTATCTTCAGAGTTAATAGATTCTTATTGGTCATTATTGCCAGGCTTTGTTTGATTCTGCAGCTTCTGTTGCTTCGAACCAAATAGCTTTGTTTGTTCCACCTGATAATTTTGCGTGTGCTTGATCTCATCCTTTCTGTAGTTTCATTCTAGACTCTTAACCCTCCAACTTTAGGAAGAAAGTTCCGAACTTTTTAGAAAAAGAATTACAAATTGGATGTTAACTTGACGATTTTGGATCTTCGACATTCTTCTAATAAAGTCCCAAACTTTGAAAAGTAAAGTTCCAAACGCTTCATCTTGTAAGTTCGTGGCAAGCTTGATTGTCTCTTACTCCTGATTGGTTCTGATCTGAGTCATCGTGGTATGAACAATGGGATAAAAATTTGGAGTGGCATGTAGCGAAAAGGAAGGTATTGTTTAGTAACCGTCTCTTGGATTGTTTTTCCGCTTCTCCAGATAACTAAGCCATGGCTTCTTTCTCTGCTTCATCATCAAGGGTTCAGGCACAACAGAATAAGACTGTAAATGCTATGAAGAAATACCCAGCTTTCTTCGAGGTCTACATTCCTCATATCAGCACCACCGAAGGTAAATTATTAACCATTTGGGTTCTATTTTTCCTCAGTATTAGTTTTGTATTTGACTGGATGATTATCAAAATCAAAGCTCTCTCTTTTTTGCACTTGGATGAGTACGTACACACTCATATTTAATTGAACTGAACGCTTTCTTATTATAGAACTTACTTATTGACATGATTATTGCTTTACATTTACCAAAATCATGAATTATCTTCCTAAAACTCATTATTTTCGACTGACAGTGAAGTCAATCATGGATGTACATAGTTCTAATCCAACAAAATTTGAGAGCTATGATGTTCCATGTGACTAACTGTAAACAATCTTTTCCGCTTGCAGAAAATTCCTGCTGCATCTATGATAACCATAGGTGTACGTATTCCCGATAAAATTATCATTAGAAAAGGTATTGGGAAATTTGGGATGTGGGGATAAGCAAGATTTGCGGCGAAGCGGTTTTTCATAGTGGTTGGCTGAAAGTTATTAAAGATAACCATCTAGTTTTAAGATAACCATCTAGTTTTTAGAGATTTTCTGGTACTTTGATACAATGGTGCCCATCTGTTTGATGTTGAGATATTTGAGTATGATGGGTGTGAGAAGAAACTGAGTTTTCTCAAAGAAGAGCAGGAAGAAGAACAGTACGAAGAGGAGGAGGAGGATACCAGTTATTCTGATTATATTGAAGAAGAAAAAGAGGCGAATGCTTCGAAAAAGGATAAACAATGTGAAAAGAAAACCGATGGTGATTTGAAGTTGTTTCTTTTTCCATAATTAAGATTGCTCAAATACAATGCTTA